AGAATAGTCTGTCATAAGCTTTAAAATGATGTTTTAAAAGGCAAAGTAAAAATCTCCTCTTAAAGTGAAACAGCAGCTTTTAGGTGACTCGGGCACTTTGGGAGACTTCACCTCTAAAAGCTTGGGTTCTACCTGGGTTAACAGTATTGTCTGAGATCACTTGGAGAACTGAATACGAAGTAGGGGGAGTAGCTTTTGAAAACGTTGGCTATGATCCCATATAGCAATATATTACATCACTGTTTCTGTAATGGGTGACATCACCTCCCCTGGACTCTGTTTACCTTACCCTCTATCGCTGTAGTGCCTGAAGAGGATTTTTAAGTGTTAAGCTGAGGCAGATTCCCTCATACATCAGGCTTAGCTGGAAGGCCGTCATTTCCCCCCATCATTCACTCCTCACTCTGCCTGCGTGGAGCTAATACATCGAAAGACAATATCCTCCAACAGCTCAAATTCCCGTTCATCTTCACACACTGCCATGCTGTGTCCTTAATCCCAGCTCTTTCCATTGTTTCTATATGTCACAGGCAATGCATCAACATTCGACAAGGATTTAGTTTTTTGGCACAGACGCCTTATATGACTTTTTTGGTAAATCATAATTCCTCGCATTCTCTGTGGGCCACTGAGAGGAAGTGTTGTAACTGATTTTAAAGAAAACTGTGTCCTGATGATGCCAGCTCCTTTTTTAAAACAGTCTGAGGGAATCTGAACTGGGAGGTAATTCGCTGCTCTGACATTGGCTCAAGTTAACATTTGGTTCTCAGTGCTCGCAACGCGAGGCAATTGCTTCCCAAAGGGCATATGGTGTGACACTAAAGAAAATCCTATAGAAGCTATGAGTTGCAAGTTCATGATGTAGATTAGAAAGTACTGAAAGGCAGAAGTATCCCCAACAGCCTTTCTCTTAGAGTCCTAAGAACATCTGGACCCCATTTCATCCCACTTTGCGCACAAGCCCTCATTCTGTCCTATGATGCTTTCTTCCTCCAGGTTCCCACATTCACCACATTCCCCTCTGGGCAAGCTCATGGAGGTCCTCTACCTGCCAGCAGAACCTTGGCATGTTCATTTTGGGCTGAAACATGAGCATAGCATCTACAGTACTAATGGCTTGGTCAAGGTCCCTGTAGACCTCCTCAGGGGTCTCAACCTCCTCATAGGCAGTTCCTTCTTCCTTGCTCAACTGCCTTCCTACTTGCTTTTACATCTTCCCTGGCAGTAAAACCAAAATCAAGCCCAGTAACAAATAGAGCGCTGTACTGCCTCGAGCACTGACTACATCATGCTGAAGAATCACATAGCTCCTAGAAGGCAGTATTTTCACCTGCAGGAATAAGAAAGCAAGCATCAGGTAGGCATCTCTTCCACCTCTGCTGCCTCATTCCT